ATATATATATATATATATATATGGTAGTTTTTTTAATTATTTTAATTTTTTAGATATATTTAAATTAAAAATAATAATCAATAACTAATTTAATAACTAATGTCTTTCTATTATTTTGTCATTTGGCTTGGTGCTTTTGTCTTCTGCTGTTAATTATAGATAGAAGATAAAGACTGCAGTCACCTACACTTGAACACACACCTCTCTTACCACTCGAAAGTAAGAAACTAAAAACACAAGGAAGGAAGAAAAGGAAGGATGAGCTTCCAACTATTCTATGAAACATGGTTTGAGCAGCTCAAAGGAATGGTACATCAACTGAGCCAAGCCCCAAGACCCGCCACCAATGACCAACACCACGAGTTGCACCAACAGCTTGTTCAAAAAGTCATGTCCCACTACTCCGAGTACTACCGAGTCAAGTCCTTGGCTGCAAAAAATGATATCCTCTCCGTTTTTTCTGCACCTTGGTGCACTTCTCTTGAACGTTCTCTCCACTGGATTTCCGGTTGGCGACCCACCACCGCTTTCCACCTTATCTACACTGAATCCAGCGTTTTATTCGAGTCCCATATCATCGACATTCTACGCGGCCTCCGCTACGGCGATCTCGGTGATCTCTCTCCCGACCAACTCCGCCGTGTCAGTGAACTTCAATGTCAAGCTGTTCAGGAAGAAAATGCTATTGCTGATGAACTCTCCGATTGGCAGGCATGCACATCCATATACTCATCTCTGTTTTAATTTTTTCATATCAATCGGCTGAATCTCCTGGTAGGCCACTCTATCACTTACAATACCTATAGCCGCGTATTTAATTTGAGTTGTTTGAGGTTGAATCTAAGAACCTCAATTATATTAGTATATGACTCATCAATTAATTTCCACTCTATTTAAGTCCAGAATTGCAAATAATTAATGTGTGTGATTTTTTTTCATATGTTACATGCAGGATGGTGCAAGTGAAGTAATTGGGTTGATGGGAGATATAGATGCAAAAATGGAAGGGCTGGTGAGCATTTTAGAGAGGGCGGACAAACTGAGAATGAAAACCATAGAGAATTTGGTGCAACTTTTGTCGCCACAGCAAGCGGTGGAATTCTTGATCGCAGCGGCGCATTTGCAATTCGGCATCCGTAGATGGGGAATCAATCATGATCGTCAACGAGGGAATCCCTGACTTCTCATTATATATTACTTCCTTGTTCATCATGCAACTAGTTTAATTTGCATGTTTTTTTTTCTTTTTTTCGGATCAGTTTTTCTCGGAGAAAAACAAAACAAGAAATTGATTTGTTCTTTTCTTTTACAAGTGGATGAGTAGTTATGCCACGTATCATGGCACGTGTTAGCTAATACGCACATGCACACATGCACGATACACTTGTTACTCAAACCATCTCGCCACGACATGGACGTTACACCAAAACGTGGTGGGTAATACGTAACTCGGTGCGGGGAACTTGTGTTGAGACCTACAACTGGTCACTAAAACCATCTCGCCACGACATGGACGTTACACCAAAACGTGGTGGGTAATACGTAACTCGGTGCGGGGAACTTGTGTTGAGACCTACAACTGGTCAGTATCCACTATCCTCAACTTCTTTGTACTCCACAGCCCATTATTCTGTATCGTTGTAACTTGTATATTGCATATTGGCGTGGCCCAAGTATAAGAAGGCTGAGAGATTGGAAACAGAAATCTTTTTATTCTTTGTACTGTTAATTATATTTTTATGATGTTCGGACTAATTTACACGCACATTGACTATTACACCGATTGCTAATTGCCTTCTACAATTTTATACAAGTACTGACTACTTCGTCCACCATGACATTATATGGGTCCAAATTTGAACAACCACGATCATCGACGAAACGGCGAGTTCCCCATAATCGGACGCCTTGCAGAGGACGACCTTGAGACAAACNTATATATATAGCGAACCATAACTTTGCAAGGGGGATTCAGAATATCGGCTATAATTCTACTTATGAATGAGAAGTGTTCTTAAAAGGAGTTTACTGATTCAGATCGATAAAGAAATCTTATTACCCTTCTTCTCCTTACCTATCTTCCAATCTAGAGATTATTACACTTAGCTAAGATTTACCCCTTCAATTTTGATTGATTTGTTCAAAAAGGTTTTGATATCTTTTGAGTCGAACAATTTGGCGCCGTCTGTGGAGATTTCTATAGTTGAAATCGTAGTTTTCATCTAGATTCTTGAAAGAAATAATCACTTTTCTTTAGCTTCATAAAGGACAACAATGGCGGGAAAGGAAGAAGCAAGGCTAAAGGCAATAGTGGGTATCACAAACAACCTCCTGAATTTCCTCAACGAAGCTAGTGGAGAAGATAACGAAAACGCTACACCAAGTGTTACACCTGAGGGAGAGATCTCACCTCCCCCGCACGACGATCTAACGATCTTGCACGAGAGGGAAACCTCAACAACTGCAGCACGAGAAGCGCCATCGGCCGTGAAAAGGCTATTAGAAGAATGGTGACAAACACCTTGAGCAGCATGCTCGAGAAACCCGTTCAGAGAGATATCGAAGACATATTACCCTCAGAAACCGCAGTTGTTGCCGATGAGCCAAACGCTACACGAACAGGTAACACCCGTACTATTGTTGATGAAGGAAACAATGCACATACGGCCATCTTAAAGAAAATGGAAGAGATGGAAAACAAGAACAAAACACTCTGCGACCAGATGAAGGAACATCAGGAAAGGGTTGAATAAAATACCAGACGCTCCGAAGTTGTTACCAAAATGCGATGGAGGCCGATTCGTCGAATAGCCATATAGCGAAGGGGAAACTCCCCATTCTATTCCGAAGACCTTCAAAATGCCGCCATATTTGAAAATATATTATGGCACCATGGACCCGGAGGATCACTTAATCCATTATGTTACCGCAGTAAAAGGTAACGATTTATCAAAGGAACAAGTGTCATCTGTACTGCTGAAAAAGTTTGGCGAAACTCTGACAGGGGGAGCATTGACATGGTATTCCCAACTACCGGCGCGATTGTCACACCTCCTTTTTACTATCCTGAAGAGGGTATAAGAGAGTTTTTTCTAATTTAAGTGACAATCGAAACAAGATTATTATTTAAGATCAGAGTCGCCACTTGGGATAGTTAATGGTGTCCCAAGTCACCAGTTTAGAATCCCGAATCGAGGAGATTTGACTATGTATTAATGTCTGCGAAACACAGAAATCCGGGTAAGGAATTCTGTTAACCTGGGAGAAGGTGTTAGGCAATCAATTGTTTAATTACTTATTTTAGAACCTATGTGTATTTTCCTCTTTTAGTTTAAGAAATTAACTTTAAAATGAGTCACGTGTACGTGTATCCATTTGTTTGGTGCGTCAAAAATCATGTCATGCGTACGTGTCCACAGTTAATAACTTTTTATTATTATTAAGAAAGTTTAGTCGAAGTTGCGCGAACGCATACTCTGATTTTGTTTTTAAGAATCGTAATTATGTCACGCGAACGTGTCCACAATCACGATGATAGATTAATTCGCGCCTAAAGCAAACTACGAATATTATTTTTACAAGACTTAATAAGAGGGCCATAAGTGATGCAATTGTGGATGACACACCTCAGTCTATTTTAAAGAACTATATTAGAGCGGACTATATTGATAACAAATTTATTATTACGAAAAGGTTTGGTCGAAGTTGCGCGAACGCATACTCCGATTTGGTTTTTAGAATCGTAATTATGTCACGCGAATGTGTACACAATCACAATTGTATTTTAAACGCGCCTAAAGGCCTTTCTACGAATATTCATTGTTAATATCTAGTTATAAAATTTGTGAGGGCCATGAGTAATTTAAATAAAATGACACACCCCAATCTATTTTCTAGAATTACATTTGATAGAAAACGGCCTAAAAGAGATCCAGATCTTAATCCGGATCAGAGTTTAACTTAATTCTCCTTGTTATAAGCACATTTTAATTAATACTAGGTGCTTAGTTGTTTAAAGGGATTCTGGGCTAGCAATAGTTTCCCTATTATTTAAAGATTTTGACAATTTGATAGTGTCGGATACGGCTCAGTTGTTATAAGCACATTTTAATTAATACTAGGTGCTTAGTTGTTTAAAGGGATTCTGGGCCAGCAGTAGTTTCCCTATTATTTAAAGATTTTGACAATTTGATAGTGCCGGATAGGGCTCAGAATTGAGCCCAAAGAGAGAAAATAACAAAAAGCAAAAGCTAAACCCATTCCTAAACTGGCGGCCTCATACAGGCCCAAACTGGGCCCAATTGCCCTTAAGAACTACAGAAACATGATACGAGAACACCAGACATGAACAACCAGATTGTGAATTAAATTTGACAACATACTACAATCAGTGGTAAAATGAACATGGATTTAAAACTACTCATTAAACCTACTAATTCTCATATCAACAGAGTACTCTAGCAATGCTGAAATTAAATGATTAAACTATGCAGATTCAGCAGCCAAAATCAACATACACGAAGGCTAAATCAACTTTTTAAACTTAAAGGAATCAGTGGACTAATCCTTACCTTAACATATAAAAATCCCTACTAGACTACTGCTTTGTCTTAGTACAGCTGAGAGAAACCAGAAGTTAATAAAGAGTTGGGTAGCTCAAGGGGAAACACATGTAAAGAAACTGAAAGTTCACTTCTGAAACCAACGAAAGCATATTATGGACTAGTCATAGACTGAGAATCAACACTGACCTAAATAGATCTAAGCAAACCCAACAAATTTAAGTCACAAATCAACACAGTAGAGGACTCCAAACTACACTTGAAGTCGAGATACAAAATCAGTGACATGAACAAATGGAAAACACATAAAGGAAAACTAACAGTACTACAAGGACTAAATGAACTTAAAATAAAACATGTGAACAAATTTCATCTGGCAGCAATATATCATTCAATCTTCACATTTGATTACATATTTCAGACTTGCAATTCACAAGTCATTTAAAGTCCAAAAGGTACTTGGACACCAAAGCAAAACAAAACATGAGAATTTCAGCCACAATGTGAGAAAAACAACACAATAACATCAACCACAGCTTCCAGAATTTAAATCATGCTTCAGCCCTTTTGGAGTTTGAAAATTTCAAAGAATTTTTTCTAGTTTTCTTGTGAAAATCAGAAAAGTTTTTAGCTAACAATGAAGAACTTTTAGTGCAGAGAATGATGCTTTAAATCTGGTTTCTGAGTGAAGGAAGGGCACCCTTTTATAGACCTCTAAGGTCATGTGCTCTAAACCAATTAAGAAAATATTCTCTCAGCCTGAAAAGACATTTTTAACCACCTGGACAGCTGGATATCCCTTATTGGCTCAGCATTTTTGTGTTAACCAAATGGGGACAACTGCCCCAGGTTCTAGAAACTTCTTATACCAAGCCTTATCTGAAAATCCTATTTCTGTGTCCAAAATTAACCCATAAGTTTCCATTTGTTCAATTACGACCCTATAATTTTCTACAGGATTTATGTCAAATAGAAATAAGCGAACAGATATCAACAAATGAGATCAAACAGAAAGACCAATAAAACTAAACGTTGAACATCTCATATCTTTAAAATAAATAAACCTAAACCTCAAGATTCATAATGAACTCTCAATGCTCTTTGGACTGACATTTTGATAATGAGCATACGCAGACAATCAATGCCAGATAAACATGAAATAGAATTAAACATAGGCTAATTAAGCAAACATTAAACCAACCTATTTTAAACGCTAATTAATTAAGCAATTATGAACATCAAGACAGCAAAGATGCCTAAAACTAACAATGGACTACAGTAGTTAAATTAATTAAACACGAACTAAAACAAATTAAAAAACCCTAGCCGAAAAATTTGACCAACTGATGATTCTAATGAAAATGCATAAATTGATGAGCCCTAACTAAGCGCGAGAAAAACCCTAATGACCCATAGATTATAGCTTCCTGAATCTCTTTTATTTTGGTCAAAGAAAAGAAAACTAGAAGAAAACGGAGTAATGAAAAAGAGAAGAAGATAAAGAAAAAGAGAAAGATAATGAAAAAAAAAAAAAAAAAAAAAAAAAAAGAAGAATAGATACCTACTGCACGAATGATAGTGGCTCCGGCGGGACCCGTCATTTTCCGATTTAAATCAAAAATAGGTGTTAAATAACAGTTCCTATTGAGAACAGACGATTAACACCAATTTCCTGCTCAAATCGTCTTAAAAGCTCATATTTAGGGTTTGCATGTCCCCAGATTTGAAATTGGCGAAATTTGAGAGGGATTCGGGGGGATTGATTTGGGGATCTGGAAAGAAGAG